AGACCGCATAAACGTCTCAAAGGGACTTATTTGCGGAATGATTGCAGAGACATTTATAGGGATTTGCATCTCACCGATAACCGCATCGATCAACGCGTGTACAAATACACATTTTATTAGGGGACAGAGTATAAGGAAAGCCTCAGTTTCATTATAGGAAATAGAAACCTTAACTTGTTTGTTAAGATTTAAGGATGTTTGGAAACTTTTTTTATAGTGTACTGATTCTGTATTTTATTAAATTTTGTAGGTAAAATTGAAAGTGCTTTCCTTATTAAATTATAATCTTTCATAATTTCACCATGTGTATAAATTCAATTAAATTACGGTTTTGCTGGAGATGAATAATGTTTGTGGACTTTTTGCACGACAGTTACATTTGGAGGTGAAGCGTCATTGGAATCGAATTATCGCATCGATCTGCGACAATTGTCAAACAATGAGTCCGTGAATACAAAACACACACACACATCATATTCGCACAAATTGTAGTGAATAGAAGAGGAACCGGGAACGAATTCGCGTGCGATGTGTAGATCACGTGCAAATTTTGGCTTTTGTATCCTGATTGAGACGGCACGTGACTGGAATGGCCACTTGGAACGCCCTATCAATCCACCCTTTTACCCGCATTTTGCAGAGAGCGAGCCCTTTTTATTGCTACATAATCCAATCGGCTTCATTTGAATAAATATTTTCGCCCGTGGGCATTCTTATAAATTATTTACTATAGCGAGTTTACGCCAAACTTTATCTGCGAGCCTAATTCGCAATCGATATTTAGTACCTACGCAAAAAGTTTTTAATTGAAGGTGAAATCTTCTGCGAATCGTTAAGTCAATTACCAATTAACGGTAACGGGAAATAAATGGGAAGCTCGGCGAGATAAACTGCACAATATTAACGTTCCAAGTCAATTATTTAGATGATAATTAAAGCCCCCCAAACGTATCAGAACGTCATTAAGTTCGCTAAGAAAATTTAATAAGGAAAACATTATGAGGCATATAATCAAGACACTTTAGGCTACACTGTTAATACTTCATGGTGAGCCGGCTGATGATCTTAATCACATTTTAGGTTAGTTCATAAAGATATTTATCATTGGAGAAGCTTATTAACAACTAATTATTTCTAGTAAGTATTCATTTAATCATAAGAAAAATATACCTACTATTCTAACAATGATATTTGAGATAAAATAATAAATATTCGTTGTTATTTTATTGTATCATTGTTGATGACAATTTTTGCTTATTTTTAACAGTGTATCTTCTAAATGCACAGTGTAACAATTTCAGTACGTAAGTTTGAAAACAGGATTGTGCCTGTATAAGTGCGCGGCAAAGAGAAGCCTTCGAAGGCAACTTTTCAAACTTCCCTGATTTATAGTTAGCTGGAGCGGTAATTAAGAGGCGTTTCCGGTATTTCCTCACAACGCAACTCCTAATTAACATATGTTTCCACAAACTTTTAAATTGTTACAAATTGCTCAAGTTGCTCAGATTAAAGTAATTAACCCTGCGGTTTCTATTCCTCCCATAATGAAATTCGCTTCCCTAATGCTTAGCAAAAGTTCCTACTTTTTTGTTTTATCTTTACATCAACAAAATTGTGCATTCATATCAGTCAAAAAGATTTAATAAATTACAATCTAAATACATATAACTTCTAAGCTTGGATTTCTTTTTGATATATTTTTTAAAAGTTTTGGTATACTTTTAACTTTTAGGATACATACTTGACTTTTTCCGTTAAATATGGAAGCATATTTCGATGCTTTTTCTTTGCAGAACAAATAGCGCTTCATTGTTCCCAACGATATGGCTGTTGTCGTTTTATTTTTATAATACAGTCGATATTATTCTTTCAGAATAGATTCTGCGGAATGGAGATTTCTCATTCAGCTTGTCCTTTGTGCCGGCTCGGTGAATCGTCGCAAATAAAACAGGATTATTTTCACACATATTGATTTCGACTAGATCAAGGAAATACAGTATATTTCGAACATGTATAATGCTTTTGTCGATAGCGTTAATTCCGAAATCGATGCAAGGGTTTGGGAAACGGGAATGATTCGATTTAGAGTGCAGGCACAACAATAGAAGAAACTGTGGGTAATTGTATCGGTTTTTTATACGCACGCATGCAGATTGTGTATACCTAAATAAAACCTGGTCATTTATGTAGAAGCATCAATTATTCTTAGTGTTCGATTTTTGTGTGTATTTTGTTCAGCACAGTACTGGGAAAATAAAGCTAATTTTAATTACTTTTATCGTATCTTTACGTTTCCTAATTGACAGTTCCACTTTAAACGTAGACGGGGCATCGTTAAAAAAAACGGGAAAGATTGAAAGTACATTACCGGGGACACATCAGCAACGGGCGACCTTATCAGCAACAATGGCAACAATGTCAGCGCTCCGAAAGGGTTACAAGGGAAACGGAAATCAGAGAAAAAGTAACAAAAGGGGCCAAGACGAACGTCCGTGCAGAATAACGCGTTGGATGGAGTGGTCTTTAGGGCGCATTCACTACCCAATTTTGACACAATTCGGACAATCGTGCTTATTATTTCGCTTTGTGCATAAAAATGAAGTTTTTTTCATTAATGGGGAAAGACGAAGGGTTGCGAGATTCGGTATTTCTAGTTTTTTGAAGGGCTTTTAAATTATATTCCGTTGAAGAGATTTTATTTCTCCAAAAGAAGCAAGAAAATCAGAATAAATATTTTTATTAGGTATATTACCTACCATCATAGACGATATTATATTCAATAAAAAAGTGAAATATTCAAAGTTGCTAAATTTTAAGCACACATTTTATGTTTAAGTACATAATATGTAATCTTATCTTAACCAATAATATATTCACTAAAACGACTATACGATTACCTAATATACGGTTTATTATATTCACCTATGTATTCATTTATGCATATTTATGAATTAGCTTTTATTTCGGAATAGAATCCGAAGGGTTGTCGTTCGCTTGTAAACAAGTTAAATTTCGTAATTTCATATAAAACGACGAACACTAAAATTGGATAAACGTCGAGTGGAAATCATAATAATGTAATATTTTATCCGGGCTCAAGAGGCAGTCGACTGTAAAGAATTACAATCATGCTTGAAAAATAGAAAAACGACAACGCCACAACGTCATCTAAATTAGTGAAAATTGGCGTAAAATATAAACCGACCTCCACCGTCAGCAAAATGCGTTATTATTCGTTGCTTTTTTTACTTTTTTTCTCGCGATTTTATTGAATTTTGGGAGAAATACCCGGATCTGGGTAACGATCAAAATGCGAAAATAATTAATTGTGAACTTGAAGTGATAAGTTGAGAGCCACTTCAAGTACATAATTAAATACTGAGATATTGCTTTATAAAATTTGCCAAAAGTACTAATAAATAATTATTTTATTTAAATTAAATTACATTGTATACGAAAACTTAAAACAATTAAATTAAATAGATTAAAATTAAGGATTGCTATACCTATTCTAGTTTTAGATAATTTTATATAGTTTCAAAACACTCGTAATAAATAGACACATTTCCCAACAAATCAAATTTTTCTTTACAATTGTAGATCATCTAAGTTAGGCTTTAACTAGACTTATATTCTTAAAATCGTTTAGCTGGTTAACCAAGAATCGACGGTTAACAAATGACGTGATAATCACAATGTGCATTATTCATTGAAAATTGGTATTTCATTCAGGTGTAATATTCTCTCTCTAGTAATATCACACTTCATTTGACCTAACTGATCCCCAAACTCGACACTTATAATAACGTGGACGCTGCGTATAATGTAAATAATCGGTTCTGATGGCCTTTCACTATGTAGCTAAATAGGGATGTATATCAACCACTCAAAAATATGTCTATACAGGTAATTGGATATTTTTCATCTACACATTTTTTTGGTTTTTACACACTACGTGCTCTTTAATATGTGTTATTAACAATATAAATTGTTAAAGCTTAATTTAATCCTTGGAATACACATCAAAAGTAAGGGTATATTTTTTCGGTTTTTATATGCAACATCGACTCTAATCTTTTATTTTCATAGAATGGGGAAGCATACATATTGAATTTCCTCTAGGATGAAATACGGCTACGACCCTATTCTTGCGAAAAAGTCCAAAAGGGCGTTAAATAAATACATATTGCATACAGAAAGTCAAATAAATAAAAGGAAGCCAGTGGTCACTTATGACCCTTCGTCAGTCGATAGTAATCTTGAATTTCCTGAAGTTGACCAAAAGGCACCAATATTTCTAACACTGAAGGCTTATCTAAATAGAAGAAGAGAAAACGTCCAGAAAATATGTACTCTTCGATATCGATAGTGTATACCCTCAAAGTTTTTTAGATTAAAGATGAAAAATGTGCGGATTTAATAAAGGATATTTCGATTTAGTTCGGGCTTACATTCTAAAAATAACGTTTAATTTAACCTTAAGTGTACCTACCTCCTGGATTTAAAATTACTGCGATTTTTTTGTTCCCTCGTCCATCATCCAGCCGAAGCATAAAGAGTGTATTAAATCGAGTATTTTAATCGTTTCTAATGAAATTTCGTTCACGAATAAAAATTCGTTACGCGCTAATTTTAATTTCTGCTCTTCCGAATCGAAAGGTACTCAAATCTTAATGAAACGTTATTTAATAATTTTCGCGAATCCCCCTTGTATATTCAATCGATGCAAGCTGAAAGCAATAAAGACACTACATGAACTATCCGACTGGAAAATAGAACAAATGTTGGGGTTATAAAGTTGTAATAAAAGCATTGACGTCCCTTCGATTTTTTAACTTAATTTTATCTCAATAGGTATATGTGATATTTACTCCATAAAATTTAAATATTAATAAGGATTAGAGGAAATAAACACTTTTAACAATGAATTTACATTTATTAAGAAACTGAAAAACACTTTGAAACTAAAGTAATTAATAATATATTGTTATTTACAATATCGAACAAATATAATTGCTATTAACAAGAAATTTCAAACACACATTTATTACAATGTTAAAATGTAACTCATTCTATTTCGAGTGCCAATTTTAAGTAGTTTACGTGAGTACAACAAAACAATAGAAAATTGCACTGCCCCTTAACTATCACTAACTATTCGTTTGTTAATTATGATTACTTAGGGCTTCTCAGTATATGTAGATATATAAATAAAGTGTCCAAAATTGAGAAGTGCAATTTTTGTAAAATTGCAAAAATTGTTTAGGTTCACAAGAAAACATTTTTTATCGGGTTAGAGTTTCCATTACAAAAAATTAGCCTTTGGAATTACCTTATTCAAAATAACTTATTTCTTGAAGATTTTTGTGTTCGATTTGATTCATATTTTAATGATTAATTATTTTTTCCTGAAAATGGAGAAACATTTTTACAATACAATACTTTTACCTAGTTTTTATTGTAAACGGATTTAATACCTTAGAGTTTGTACGAAATAACTCGGATCTGTTTTTTTAACTAAAAATAATACTGTGTGAATGGAAATTAGCGCTTCCTTTATTTTAGTGAATTGTTTGAATACACATTGCGAGAATATTTATTATTTTCATTGATTATATTCATCTCAATTTTTGTCTCAAAATGTAAATTTGTACAGAATAAAATAGACCCAAGTCACCATCGCATCGCTACAATATTAATTATATTAATTCATTGTAAATCCTCTGTACAGACCCGTTCAATTAGTAAATCTAACATTTTTCTCACTCAAATCGCAAGGACTATCACTGTCTCTACCCGATTGACTATCTCTATATTCAGTAGCTCCTGACGAAGCGGCGGCGACGCTAGACGTCGCCAAATTAGAAATATCACTAAACCAAGTACCCAGGTTCAACCTCTCCGGAAGAACCGGAAGCGGTTTTCATATAACGTGCGCCGGCAGCGGTTCGTTCCGGAACTCGTCGTTTTTCATGATGACGCAGACGGGCCTCTTTATGCTCTCCGGGCTGGGCGATCTCCTGGGGAACGTCGGAGGGCAGATGTTGCACGGTACGTTGGGGCCCACGTTGTTGGCCATCGACCAGTTCAAACCGGGCGGGTAAATGGGGTTGTTGCTGTACAACAGGGCCAGCTCGGCCGCGAATTTCGTTTCTTCGGGATGCCTGAAGGGGTGGTAGAGGTACGGCAGCGGGGGAAAGAGGGTTCTGGATAGTTTTAAGTGTTCGTGATCGAATGTTGGTAGACCTGATGCTGAGGATATGGGAGGGACGAGCGGCCGGGGAAGCTGCGAGTTGTCTAAATGACTGGAAGCTAGCAAAGGGGATATGGAGAAGCCGAATTTCGGTTCTTTTTTCATTAGGGGTTTTGGCTTTCGTCTTGGACGGTATTTGTAGTCTGGGTGCTCTTTCATGTGTAAAGCCCTGAAACAAAAATTTATTCGATAAAAATACACAAAATGTTGTATTTTAAAAGTTTTATTTTCAAGGATAAATTTCTTCCATTAGTATCATAACTTAAAACGGCATTTTTATCTTATAAATGCAGAATTCTAATTTCGCCTCAATCACTTTTTAACAAATAACCATTTTTCCTTGGATCTAGCTGTAAGGATATAATAGGCCTATTATGTAGTCTATTTGTATCTCAACGATATTTTTCAAAAAACAACAACTCCACAATGCCAATTGTGTAGGCTTATTTATTCCCAAGAAACGTTCCTGTTTGTGCTGCGATAAATAGAGAATTGGTATTATTTAATCATAAAGAAAATATTATCTTCTACATACAAAAAGGTATGTATATTTAAACTGAGCAGAGCGAAAAGGGCGCATTCAAAACTATTTTTGTAGTTGTTCAAATACGGAAACACTTATCAGTAGTAAGTGATAAAATAATTTTGAATTGTTTGCTCAGGTTGACACTTTATTAAACGTAAAATAAATAATTATGTAGGCATTCGTCTTTAGTAAACTTTCCAAGGAATTTTCAAGAGGTGTTTTTATACACATCAACTTGTTTTATGAGATTATTACTTTATAAGTAAAGTTAATGCTTATAGATTGACGCATTGAATCAAACTAGATCAATTTTCTTTCGGACGAATAATAAGTATTTTCAAATGTAGCGTAATTTACAAGATTAACCATTGTATAAAAGAAAATAACCGTAATCTTGCCCAGTAAATACACACTATCTAAACCAACATATTCATCTGGCGACAAAAGATAATGCCTCCATTGTAAAGACACATTGAGCACCTCCTGTGATTCCATTCATCGGGAGATTGTCTCCAGGCGGGACGCGCTTCTCGTCTCGAGTCCTCCATCCCCCCAATATAATGCACCCCTTTCACGCCACACGAGCCCTCTTTTGTTCTATTCCTCGCCAGAGCAATTGGAGTATTTACCTCCAGCGATCGCTTCACATTTAGAAGCCAGTAACACATTCGATTCCATTCTCTTCCCATTCTATTCCTATTCTATTCCGTTCTATTATGCAAGTGTGGAACGCTGGATACGAATCAAACAATCTCCTAGGCGATTTGGAATAATAGTCACGGAGCTCGCTTATTATTATACTGTTGTAACTCGTTGATGTATTAGTCTTATTTTTGGGTGCATATTGTGAATTGTTGAGAAATTGGATACAATTATAGAAATGGAAAATAATGAAGTTATAATTTTACCTAGATGTTTTTGTTGGAATAGTTAAAAGCTGACTATAAATTTATGATGTAACACTTTTAATTACGTTTCCTCTTGCTTACAAATAACCTAGAGCAATTCGAATTTATTGTCGGGATTAGTAAAGAAAACAGAACGGCCATATTCGTGTCATATTTACATAAAACACTATAATTAGCATTATCTTCAACAAATGACTTTAAAAGATAATTCCCATTGGAGCGTCACTTTACATACGCAATAAACTTTTAAGGCTTTTAAAATTTACAATGTGTGCGCAACTCTCTATATTTTGTTGGAATTTTATTATTTCTTAATAAGGCACCTATCCTAAAATTGCTAATCGTCAAGATAATTTACGCTCATTTTGAAACTATTATGTAAATAAATCAAGCTTTATATGCAACAATGGATCACCCTATTTACTGAAAAATAATTAAGTTTATAAGCCAAAGGTTTCATTTTTTTAACAATTTAATATTAATGAAACTTTTATCTCTCTACTGCGTTTAATTACTCAAAAATGAATTTCACTTCCATCCTCGTTCAGTAAACGAAAACAATAACGCGACGACCGATCCTTCCCCCCATTTGTTGGAAATTAATCCGGTGAGCGCGCGCTGACAAAGTATTCAGAAGCGTGTATCCCATAACATAGCATTATGACTTTATTAATATGCCCCGTCTAATCTCCACCTAAGTCCCATTTATGGGACGCATACGGCCCATTCTGAAGCGGGCTCTGTTATCTTTTGTAAAACAGACGACCTGCTTTGTACTGAATCACTTTAAAGCTCTGTTTTATTGAGACGGGGCACTCATGCACTAGCCGGTTAATAACTGTGAGAATTTGCAAGTTGTCGGTGGTAATTTCGAATATAGGTAAATCAGAAAGGGTTATATTTTAACTGAATGTTTTGGCATGCAGTGCAAAGTCGATTTTATACTTCAAATTACTATAACTATGTTTAAATCAACTTTCTAGTGGATTCTATTAGCGGAATTTAACATCTAATTTATCTATTTGAACTGATCTAAAGCTAAACCTTATACTTAATACTTTTTAACACTTATTGCATGTGAAATACTTGATTATATATTCTTGTATGTGCATTATTTATGTGCAACATTGCATGAATGACTTTATTATCTACTAGTAGCGCTATAAAATTTATTTGTCATCATGAATTTGAAAGCTCAAATTTGAATTGAAAGGTTAAATGTCGTTATCAACTTATTTTTTACACGCATCGCTGAATTATTTTTGTGCAAAATATAATTTTGTTAATCGAATGAAATTTTAAAATCGTAAAATCTATAAACACAATGTCATCGGGAATTAATGCGTCGATGAGCAGAATCAAAAAGAAACATCACTTGAGCATTCTGCCGAATAAGACGTGGTTAAAAATTTTAAGTTACTTGGATGATAAATCGTTGTTCAACGTTACCAAATCATCGAGGTTTCTCCTAAAAATTTGCAATAGACGTCGAAGTTTGAGGAGACGTAGGTTGCGTTACAAGTCGATGGGTAAAGGAAATTTGATGTGCCATTGCTTCGGCCTAGTTTAGGTAATTCCCTTAATTTTTTATTTTTCTGCTACTATAGAAATATTTTATTTTATAGGTGCCTCTGCAATTTTTATATACATTATAAGCTGGAGGGACATTATATATCCATCTATAAAATTTACCTATTTTAAAGATTTTTTTTTATAAAAAATTTATATGTATGCTGGTTGAAACGCAAAAAGGACTATTCAAAAGCTACGATTTTGTATAACTGTATGAAACCTATAAGTACCTAGTGTGATGTAATAATAAATTATCCATTTATTTCAAGTATATACTTCATAAATTAACAAATTTTTACTTATCTCTGTTCCTTAAATTTTAACATGAGCCCTGAACTGATCTGATTAGAATCAGAAAAGGGTGCAAAATAATGAGTTAATATAGTACAAATTTTATTAACATTAAGACATATTGTATTGTTATATCTATCTACGTAGGTAATTTAAAATTGGCATGCAATTACAATGATCTTTAAAGTTTGCTTTTCTTATCAACATTCTAATAATTGTATTTGAATAAGGTGACAGACCTATTTTTCTTTTTTAATATTTTGTCTTGTGATGTTAAATGTGTGCGTTTGCATCATGATAACATTTACTCTGGCTGTAGTTAAATCTGAATTCAAAGATATGCTTTAAACATTGGGATCATTACATATTTAAATGCATATCTACAATTAATTATTGTCTTCAGCAACTCGCCGGAGCTGATGATTAATTTAAGTAGGTACTCCAATGCGAAAACAATAACCATTTTAAATAATTTCAATTATTCACCATGGCTGTAGAACCTTTACTTAGGTCTTTACACTTTTTATAAATATTTGTTCTTTTTTAATGTAAATGATTTTTTGAAAAAGAAAGACTAAAGAATTTTTGTACGTAAGTATGGGTATCTCCTTGCAAACATTGTAAACGAATATGTATAACGAACGAAAATAATAAATAGAACTATTTCGTGTTCTAATAAACCATTATAATCTGTGCAAACAAACGATAAAATGAGTTTAATTAAATACTTAGGCAAGGATTTAAATGCTTGTAAATTGTAGTTCCACCATCCAGCATTAATTTAACTCTTAAATTTGAAGTAGAGGATAAAAATAAAGTATACCTGTTTATTACAATTTTATTATATATTTTTGAAGCATAATATATTATGTTATTTTTTGCTTCTTGCATAGCTGCATTATTTTATGCTATTTTACCTTTATAACTAAGGTAAACTAATACAATATACGGGAAATGCATCTCTTTAACAACATGTAATAGGTATATTATAGATATATAAATATTGACAGTTTTAACGATTAGATATTTGAAAATAAAAGTATAGTATAAGGGCATTGTCCTTATATTCATAAATTTTTATCTGTAGGTATAGATGACATGCTTTATAATTTTAAAATTTAACTCTACATAAATTAACTAGTATACAAATTTTATAACATCAAAGTAACCAGCAAACAACTTTTAAATTCATCATAAATGCAAAAGTAAGTCTATCTTTTCAGTGATTTTTTATTCTAATTAATTACGTAGGTTTAGAAAAGAACTTCTCCTTACACTTATAACCATTAAACTGTTAACTAATAATGGGTTTCAAAAGTATTTTTCTCAAATAAACCAAATCCTCTTTAAAGCCAGAAAACTCACCTCAATCTCTTCGCTTCGTCGATGAACGGCCTTTTTTCACCTTCACTCAACAACTTCCACTCTGCCCCCAGGCGCTTGGATATCTCCGAATTGTGCATTTTCGGATTCTCCTGGGCCATTTTCCTTCTCTGTCCCCTCGACCACACCATGAACGCGTTCATGGGCCTCTTGATGTGCTCCTGGTTCTGCGGCTTCGGCGAAGACATGTCAAATTTTCAGTAATTAGGTAAGGTAATTAGCTACTGTTCTACGCGAACATCGTCGCTACAAAAACGGCTTCCTGATCTGAATATATCGCGAGAGGTCCTTATGATAGACTGATATAAACAGTGCGTTGTCACAATTTTCGACTATTCCCCGATACGGGCGATAAGAGTGGGGAGCCGGCCGGAGGGCGGAGAAAATATTTCGAGCTACGTGCGCCCCCGTAATGGGAATCTAACCGCGAGATTAGCGGCGATGCAAAGGAATTGGTTAATGGTAAATTGGAGGTTTGTTGTTTGGAAAAAGAAGGAAACAAGCGCCGGGTCGCTCGGAACAGCTTCACGCGTTTACGGATCATTACTTTCGATTTGTACTATGCTACCCCTGCCCATACTAAAAGTGTTATTATAGATATTTAATGGTGTATGCAGGTGATTTCTTTGAATAATAAAATTTGAAAGTTGTTAAGATAAATTATCTTATTTATAACTTATGATTTATAGTCTTAAAAATATTCGATATTATGTCAAATTTAAGGAATTATATTTGTAAAGTTGCATGAACAAATAAGTTAACAACAACTATTGTTTTGAAAAATGGTGAAGGAATAATTGTATTTTTTGTCACTATTACCGCAAAGGCAATTACTGCATTAATACCAAATATATTACTCCAGTTGGACATAAGTTTCTTCAATATTTTTTACTGTAAATTTGTAAAAAAAAATGGTGGAGGTAATACGTTCCTCCACCATTTTTGTAATTTCCTAATGATTTTACCTACTGTCTTTCTATCATTTTCTTGGGGTAAATAATTTGATTCAAGTCAATTTCATCGAATTTACAATTTCATTCCAAGAACTTGGTACCTATTTTCCTATTCCAGGACATTACAATTATACAATTATTTTTAATTAATGTCATTATTTACAAAACTTTTTCCAATTTACACCAAAACAGACAAAAAGATACACCCATATAGTCATTGAAGAAATCATTTCGACCGTCCCTTGTAAACCCCGCTGGCAATTTCTATCAATTGATATCATCTCTTGGTCGGCGTTAGTCTCTTTCTGAGTGAAACAGTGGAACTGGAAAGATTACAGACGTGATTAGGTATCATTCGGCCAATGGTAGAAAAGTTGGGCGTCGCTAAAAGGAGCGAGCCCAGTGGTGGGGCGATGCATGGCGAGAGCAGCAACAAGTGTTCCCTTTCTCCGAGCAACGCTTAATCCAATTCCGACAGGATCTGATAAACGATACGAAGACTGGCGGTCGGATTTTATTTTGCGGCTTTTACTTAACGGCTAAAATTTGCGGCAATTAGCCGTTCAATCGGTTCATTGTATTGAATTTAGTTAATATTGTAAAATAGCACATTTACGTACATTTTATTCTACCTGATTTAGGGGAAAATGACCGACTAAATGGGATACTTTTCGCATAATACTTACAGGGTGGTCTAGAATTCACGCCGCACCGGGAAAGGCCTTATTGGAACGACAATGGAGATGCCAAAAATGCAGCTGAAGTCATGAAAAAATTTTTCCTTTGGAAAATAAAGAGGTTTAAAATCGACCAATCCCAGTAGTAGTTCAAATCCACGAAAATGGCGTGGATTTACACCAATTTGACATTAATGAAAGATTCTGTCCTTTTCACTTTCAAGGTTTACAAACGCTACCAAAATCCAGCTGCGACTTTGATCAAAGATTTGCTTCCAATGCGATCAAAAAATGGACCATTCGATTCGAACCACTTTTGAAGCAATAAAAAATTCTGTAGATTTGGCATTGGCACGACGGAGCTCCTGATGAATGATCGATTTTGTGATCGATCTGGAAGAATGCAAATCTTTGATCAATAGTCGCAGTTAATTTTGGTAATAGCGTTTGTAAACCGTGTGCGAAAAGGACATAGAATCTTTCATTAATGTCAAATTGGTTTATAGCTCATTCACGTCAAAAGAAAGGTTACAAACAGGAATTATTTATTTCTACAAGTTTCTGAACCTCTGCTTGTATATCTATATGTATAAGGTATATAGGTATTATACATATTTTTTATAGTTTACTGATGGAAGATGTAGCAAAAAGATAACCTGCTCCTAAAACATCTCCTCCACTTTTCGTAACGCTCTGTATATCTTATTTTCTCTAGGTATTGAAAAGAAAATATCTAATCCCTCTTGGTATATAGGAAAAGATACACAATGCTGGAACAGAAACTATTTTTATAAGCGAACAAATGAATAGCCGGCAGGGTGTTGGACACTCGGCGGAGACGTTGTGTTGACTTTCGGGTCAGAGCGGCAAATAATGCATTTATTGCTTATAGATCGCGCCCGGATCTTTTCTTTCCTTCAATAAGCCGCCGGTTAGATGTTTGCTCGAAAGAGCCCTGCCTCCGGGCGACGCATTGTTCTTTTTTTGGATATTGTAAGAGAGGCAATATAATACTTTTCGTGGTTGCGAGCCTGTCAATAAGACTGTACGCGTTATTTTGGGAGATATGGATTCTTTTTTTGTTTGTTTAGATAATTTATTGATAGACCAATATTCATTAAATTGATAATAAGCTTTTTGATTAGGTTGTTCAAATTATGGTGGAGGATCGAGAAAACTTGAAAACTCTTTTTTTTATAGATTTATGTATAAAAAATGTCATTAACGCCTGATGGCGTTTTATACTGCTTTTGGAAATGATTGTTGCCTACCGACCTTTGTGAATTTTATAATCATCAATATATGTAGATACTAAAATTTATTTCTGCAATTCAAATCGATTTATTTATTATATATGTAGATTTATGGAATCCAATATTTTTCGAAATAATTGCATTTAAAACGATACAATAAATCGCGATGCCGACCCGTTAAGAGCGCCATTTTTCTTACGATCGCGTTTCGCAGTTTCAATTTTTCCAATAACTCTGAATGGGTTTCTTTTTCAAAGGCCCCACTCGGCGATGAGAATCTTGATAAAACCTTCTATAAGTGAGAATAGCGGGCGAATAATATCGTAAACTTTACAAATCCCATTTAGAATTGTGACTTTTATGTTCGCTGAAAGCGGATTTCGGCTTTTGGCTTCTTTTTGTCGACTGTCTATACGACGGAATGTGCGCCAAAATCCTCTTTAATAACAACACTGATTCTTCTCTTCCTTTTTCTTTTATTTTCAATTATAATTTAAAAATAATTATACCCCCTCTACACATTAATATAACTGTAGAAAAAATCTAGATATATTTTCCTACAAACTTTACCTAATAGATTTTATTATCTTTCAAAATATTCTGAATATAATATGTATAATTAATATAATTAACGAGCCTCTTTTCCATAATTCACTCTTGTTAAGTTACAAACCCACATGTATAGGTATATAGGTATAGGAATAATGTATTGATTGTAATTATATAAAAAGGTGTGAATTACTGAAAAGCTTACGCACTCAATAATGCACTAATGAAGCTTACGTATATAAAAACTTGCGTATTATGCTACAAAAAGAGGTAAAAGAAAAACTAACAACTGGAACACGATCCCACAATGATACACACCAACAATCATTCAGTTCACATTCAATTATTGCTCTTTGAAAAGCCGAAGCGTCGCCGCCAAAACAACAATACTGCCGCTACAATGAAGCTAATGTTGTTTGAAAGGATAATGATGGAATTATTCATATACAATCAGCCCTGCATTGTTGTTAATGATTATTTCTACTGATGTTGCGTTTTGTTTTTTCGCTGTATTTCGGTTTTTTTGTGATAGTACGGTATTTCGAATGGGCAATAATGGAGGTCGGGAATTCATTTTGTTTGAATTGTTGATCGACTGATATTTTCCCTTAACCGATTACATAAGTGCATCAAATTTTTATATTATTATCTACATAATTAATATACATCTCAAAACAACAGTAGGTTGTGTAACTACTGAATATACCTTAAGTGAAAATCCATTCACTTAACGCACAAACCTAACGCAAAATGAGAACCACTATTCAATCAATGTATGGCAAATAAAACGTAAAATCAAAATTCCCGTCGCGCTGCTTACAAATTGAATAGTGCTAAATTGCCGTCACTATAGGCTCCAATGTTTGTCGAACCTCCTACGTTTTATTCTCGCATAAAAACAAATTGACGTCCCAAAAGCCTTCAATTGTCTTATCAATCAGCAACTATTGTGTACTAAATGCTTATTTAATCGCCGCACGGTCACATAAACGGGTGGGGTGGTCGCAGTTCGCTTTTTATAGGGGTGAAATGGGGTTTATAAAGCTATAATAATGCAGGTTTTTTTTGTATATACTATATTTAGGTTGCAGTTTCTAGTTCTGTTTATCTAGGTGTCTTTTTGAGCCGCGCACCTGTGCATTTTTTGATGCAATGCAAAATAATAGGAACATATAGGAAGATGGCCCATTAGAAGTATCTGCAGGAAAAGTAGTGGTAATTGAAATTTGAAAAAAAAAATTGTCTACAAATATTAGTCGATGAAAATTCGACGAAAATTATATTTTTAACATTTTCTCACTTCCAGTTTTACCGGAAGTGAACAGCAACTTTGTTATTTTGAATGTGGCACCCATATAGTAACAAATTTTCGAAATCTGCGCAAAATTTTGAAGTGCTTTTGTCTAAAAAACTTTATTCCAAAAATGCATACTTTTTGTGTTATTTTTTTTGAAAAAAATGTTACCAAAGCAGACCTATAATAAGAGGAAATAAGAGTAGCTCTGATTTCCCCTAACTCATCAAAAAGGGGTGAGTATATAACATGCATCAGTTTATCGAAAAATATGAATCAATGATTTCTATAATACTTTAGGGTTGATCGGCATGTTGTAAATTTGATCGTATACAAATTGATTTAATTTGAAGAAGGGTAACGTGTTCACATATACCTTGATAGCGAAAGTGAAAATGGGATTTTGCGATATAGCATTGTAGTTTTTATTGTGCAAATTTATTATTTTTATCCCTATATCCGTCAGTATAGGCACTAAAGCGTAAATAACCATCGCATAGAAACGGTCCCGGCATGCTCTCATATACGACAAATCCCACATAATTCTCTCTTCTTATTTTCGTCGTCTTCTTTTTGCAAACATTACGAAAACCACTTTCTTATGCACGCGCTACA